TTAGAGAGATAATGGATAACAGCAACATACCTAAACATAATAAAAGCAATATACAGTAAACCAACAGCCAACATCAAACTGAATGGAGAGAAGCTTAAGACAATTCATCTAAAATCAAGACAAGGCTGCCCTCTCTCTCCATATCTCCTCAATATTGTACTTGAAGTTCTAGCTAATGCTATAAGACAACAAAAGGAGATCAAGGGGATCCAAATTGGAAAGGAAGAAGTCAAACTGTCTCTATTTGCAGATGATTTGATAGTTTATGTAAGTGTACAAAAAAACTCTACCAGGTACTCCTACAGCTGATAAACACCTTCAGAAAACTAGCAGGATACAAGATAAACTCAAAAAAATCAGTAGCCCTACTTTTTTTCAGATGACAAATAGAGAAAGAAATCAGACCATTTACAATAGTCACAAGCAACATAAAGCAAACAAGTAAAAGACCTATATAATAAGAACTTTGTGGCTCTAAAGAAAGAAATTAAAGAGGATACCAGAAAATGGAAAGATCTCCCATGCTCTTGGATAGGTAGGATAAACATAGTAAAAATGGCAATCTTGCCAAAAGCAATCTACAGATTCAATGCAATCCCCATTAAAATCCCACCAAAATTCTTCACCAACCTTGAAAGGATAATAATCAACTTTATATGGAAAAACAAAAGACCCAGGATAGCCAAAACAACCTTATACAAGAAAAGAACTTCAGGAAGCATCACCATTCCTGACTTTAAGCTCTACTACAGAGCTATAGTTCTGAAAACAGCCTGGTGTTAGCACAAAAATAGACAGGTAGACAAATGAAAATCCTGATATAAGCCCACACACCTATGAACACCTGTTTTTCGAGAGCTAAAAGAATACAATGTGGGGAGAAAACATCTTCAACAAATGGTGCTGGCACAACTGCAGATAGACCCATGTCTATCGCTATGCACAAAGCTCAAGTCCAAATGGATCAAAGACCTCAACATCAATGTAGCCACATTGAACCTCTTAGAAGAGAAAGCAGGAGGTACCCTTGAACAAACTGGTACAGGAGACCACTTCCTGAAAATAACTCCAGGGGCACAGACACTGAGATTGACAATTAATAAATGGGACCTCTTTAAACTTAGAAGCTTCTGTAAGGCAAAGCCTGGGAAAAGATTTTCACCAACCCCACAGGTGACAGAGGGCTGATCTCCAAAATATACAAAGAACTCAAGAAACTAATCAACAAAACACCAAATAACTATAAAAGGTGGCGTACAGAACTGGAGTATTCTCAATAGAGGATATCAAACAGGCTGAAAGACACTTAAGAAAGTGCTCAATATCCTTAGCTATCAGGGAAATGCAATTCAAAACAACTTTGAGATACCATCTTACTCCTGCCAGAATGGCTAAAATTAGAAACAACAATGACAACTTATGCTGGAGAGGATGTGTGTGCACTCCCATTGCTGGTGGGAGTGCAAACTTGTATAGACATTCTGAAGATCAGTATGGTGGTTCCTCAGGAAAATGGGAGTCAGTCTACCACAGGACCCAGCAATCCCCCTCTTTGGTATATACCAAAATGATCCACATCCATGCAACAAAAGACATGTGCTCAACTATGTTCATAGCAGCATTATTTGTAATAGATAGAACCTGGAAGGAACCTAGATGCCCCTTAACTCAAGAATGGATAAAGAAGATGTGGCACATCTACACAATGGAATACTACTCTGCAGAAAAACCAGTGGATTCTTGAAATTCGCAGGCAAATGGATGGCACTTGAAGAAACCATCCTGAATGAGGTAACCCAGTTACAAAAGGGGGAACATGGTATGTCCTCACTCATATATGAATTTTAGACATAGATCACCAACCTATAATTCACACCACCAGAGAAACTAGGATACAAGGAGGAACCTAAGAGATTCATACAAGGTCTCTCATTGAAGCAGAAAGGAACAAGAGTTTCTGAGCATATTGGGAGTTGGTGGTTGGGGCAGTGAGTGGAGAGGGAGTTAGGAGAAATAAAATGGGAGAAACGAAAGCATGTGGGACCGGGAAGATTGAGTCAGGGGAGGAATAGGCAGATGAGAGCAAAATAATTAAAAGGAGATACTATAATAGAGGGAGCCATTATCAGTTTGAATAGGAAACTGACTATAGAGAAATGTCCAGAGACCTACAAGGAATACCCCATCTAACAATCTGAGCAACAGTGGAAAGGCTAACATAAATTCCCTTCCCTGATAATGAGATTGATGGCTAACTTATCCACCATCATAGAGCCCTCATCCAGTAGCTGTTGAAAACTGAAGCAGACATCCACAGCTAAACACTGAGCTGAACTCCTAGACCCAGTTGCAGAAAGGGAGGACTGATGAAAAGAGTCAATACTAGCCTGGAGATACCCACAGAGACAGCTGACCCACAAGAGAAGGGAGTTCATGGACCTAATTCTGATAGCTAGGAAATCAGTAGGACCTACCCAGACCCCGTGAATGTGGCTGTAGGTTAGGAGGACTGGGCAGCCTATGGGGCCTCTGGTAGTGGATCAGTATTTATTCAAATGTACTTGGGGAGCTCATTCTACATAAAGGTATACTTTCTCAGCTTAAACACATGGGGGGGGCGCATAGGCCCTGCCCCAAATGATATGACAGACTTTGAAGACCCTCCATGGAAGGCCTCACCCTCCCTGGGGAGCAGAAACGGGAAGCATGGGGGTTGTGGGAGGGACAAGGTGAGGGAACTTGGATAGGCAGGTAAAACAAGTTGTTTCAAATTTAAATAAAAATACTATCATAAAAAAACAAAACAGCTTGGCCAGGCAGTAGTGGTGCACACATTTAATCCCTGCATTCAGGTGACAGAAGCAGGCAGAACTCTATGAATTCCAGACCAGAAATAGGTGACTACTTCATAGATGAAGCCCAGATGCTCTCTGTGACCCGACTAGAGAGAGAGAGAGAGAGAGAGAGAGAGAGAGAGAGAGAGAGAGAGAGAGAGAGAGAGAGAGAGAGAGAGCACGCACTGGTGTGCAGGTCCCCAGACCTACCCATCCATTCATGTCTCAACTGTGACCATGCCTGGGCATGGTCAGTGCAACAGGTGAGGGCAGGGTGGATATCTCACTACACAGGTGAGTTCCAGGACAGCCAGGGCTACATAACAAGGCAGGGACTCAATCAAACAAACTTGCCTGGACTATGTTTAAGATACTTTTAATATTAGCCACTGACTTCAACCACAATTTCCTACCATGACATTCAGACTAACTTTATACAGTAACTGCCTACTCCTAGGCTATAATAGATCAGCCTCCTTAATCACCAAACAGAAAAGATTTCTTTCTTTCTTTCTTTTCTATTCTTTTATTTTATTTTTATGATTTACTTATTATGCATGCAACATTCTGGCTTCATGTATGCATGCATGCCAGAAGAAGGCACAAGATCTCATTATAGATGGTTGTGAGCCTCCATGTGGCTCTTGAGAATAGAACTCTGAACCTCTGGAAGACCAGACAGTGCTTTTATCCTCTGAGCCATCTCTTCAAGATTTCTTGCATAAAGAATTGTATAGATTTCATTTCATTAGTCTTTCCATTAGTCCCCAAAAATAGCAGAGGCCACTTCAGCCTATATATTTGTGTTCCAGGTTGCAATTCTATTCTTTATTCCCTTTTTTTTCCCCAGAAAATTCCATTTATAATAACATTTGAGTATCAAGCTGAAAGAACAGATATATGAGTTCAATAATTTAATATTTTTACTCTAATTGAAATTGTCTAGGTCTCTCTAGGGTAGTCTCACATGATAAACTCTATACACAGTATTAAAAACTCTATGTTTTCTCTAAAAGAAATTATTCTTTAAAATCAGAAAATACATACATATTCATAAACCAAGGACAAGCTTAGAAAACAATGAATACTATAAATAAATTATAGGTTCCATGACAATTTCTACTTTTGAAGAAGAAATTTACCCAATATTAGTTTTCTAACATATATACTCACGCACATACGCATGCAGGCATGCACATATTGTTAGTTTAAAGGGAACTTTAAAGAAAAACAAACATTAAAACTTAAAAATGACTATAGAATCCAATCTATGGGAAATATCTGACAAAATGTGGGAAATAATGCAGTTCAAATGTACTAGGAAAATTAAAGTTGTAACACTGTAAAAACTTATAAGAGATCAAATCTAATCATCTCAACTTCAAAAAAAGCAACACCTGAAACCATCTAAATAGGCCATTAATGATTCTATAAAGTATAATAACAAAGCCAGAAATGCTTAGTTCCCATTCCTAATTTTTTACACTAAAATGCATTAGGAGCACAATACTATTTAGTACAGCAAGCTATCCCTTTAGATTCAACAGTGACACTTGTATCTTTGTCACAATGAACAGCTGTTGAATTGGACATAAGGCCCCACTCAACAGGTGGGAAAATAAGCTCAGGGCTAGAAGGGTCATGAATCTTAAATGAGAACCTCTCAAGGTAATTCACTAAGTTAGTATAATTGCTAACTACATTCAAAAATTTAGCATTATACTTACAAATAATTATAGCTTTTTACAGCTCATCAACCTAGCTTCTCTTGAGATGAGACTATACAAAAAAAAAAAAAAAGTCAACAGATTGTGGGGAACCTAGCCCCAGTACATTTATCCTCAACCCAACTCATATGCATAAAATTCAGGATCATGGGAGAAACAGAGATGGAAAGAATGTCAAATCAGAAAGCACAAAACTTGGCTTCTGAGAATGAATGATTTAAAAACGAAAAGAAAGCTTCACCCATGATATCTCAACAAAATGGCTGAATAAACAAGACCTGAACAATAATACTAATATCATTACACATGGTAACATGACAGAGGGAAAAATGTCAGCTCCTAGTAGTTATTATAAATGAAATTCACTAAGAACAACATTACATATACTACTATTTTACAGTGTACATCAACTACAGATTGTCCAATAATATGCTCTTACCTTCCAAGGAAATACCAAGATTGGCCAGAATTAGGATCTTCCTCCAGTGACTTTTGGAGATACTGAATAGCATATCTTTCCTTGTTGACCTTGTCTCCTACTAGATCCATATTATGATGCAGCCAACCTATAATTTAAAAATTATAATTACTAGCAGGTGCATCTTTAATTCCAGTATTTAAGGGGCAGAGGTAGGTGGATCTCTGCGAGTATAGGGCCAACCTGCTGTACATAGTGAGTTCCAGGCCAGCCAGTACTACAAAGTGAGACCCTGTGTCAAAAATAACTAAATAATTTAACCATCATGCAAGTTTTTCTCCTTAACTAAACAGTGTAGTAAACAAATTCATATTAAATTTTACCTATGGTTCTATTTTCCAAACTAAAAAGCACTAAAAGTATTGTAGGAAATTCTACTTCACCTAAAAAGGATACTCAAAGCAATTAAAAGATTTTTAAAAACACTGAGAATATGTCAAAGTTTATCAACCATGAATGTACTTTATTGAACTGTAAATTAACAGATATTTGAAACATGTAATTATTGTTCCTTTAGGTCAGAACAAACTTAAAAATTTTTAAAACTCTATTCTATGTTTACAAAAGCTTATATATATAATAAAATTAAAAACACAGAGTAAGTAATTACAAATAAATAAATTAAAAGAGAAGTTCATATAGTATGTAACTCAGTGGCAGAGCACTTGCCTAGCCTGTGTGAGGTCCTAAATGAAATTTCTAACACCTAGACAAAGAGTATGGGATATAACTTTAGGGCCACTGAGAAGACAGACTCAAGTGCATTAGAATTATTATCTGTTAATTAATCTACTGAACCAATGTAAAAGCAGAAGATGAAAAGTCTACAAATGCATCCTCTGATCTCCACAAGTGCACTATAGCAGGTATGTGCATTGTAGGTCATGTGAACATATATGTACTTTATACACAGCTAGAAATAAGATACTCTTTAAAAAGCATATACCATAAAGGTTATCTGTTTAAAAGAAGCTATAAAAGTTACAAAAGGCCCAACATCTTACTGTCACTGAATAGTTTTACATATACAGTAAATGTAACAATATTTGTTCAAATAATAGACATTAAGTTACATACAAGAATTCATAAATAGTAGGTACAAAAATAACATAAAAGTGGCAGCTAGGGTTCAACAAAAAAACTGATTAATTATAATAATGATTACAGCAAAAGCAATAAAGAATTGAGGTATAAGAAACATTGAAATAAAACAAGTGTTTCTGTTTGACCCAACTCAATGCAGTGGGAAGAAAAATTCATGCTATTAATAGGTCAGCAAAAATATTTCAATACCTGTTCGGATTAAATATAAAAATACAAAAATCAAACACCAGCAAGATACATGCTTTACTAAATTGCTTTACTAAATTACTAGAAAATATACAAAATTGCCACTGAAAACAAAATACTGTTTCATATTGCTTTCAAACATTGCTATTTAATCTGTATTTTAAGAGCATAAAACTTCTTGAAGAAGAAGGAGGTAAAGGAGAAGGAACAAGGAAGTGGGGTTGGTATGCAAAATGAATTAAAAAGAATAAAAGAAAAACTTCTGAAAGAAATTTCAGAATTAGATATCCTGTAAGTTTTGGGCAATTATTTCACAACAGAGCATAATATTTAAAATTATGAAATTCCATACTTTTATTATAAATATATAATTGCCTAAATAAACTCTTTTATTTAAAAAAAAAGAGAAAAAACAAACATAGGCAAACATAGGGAAGTATTCAAGCCCTCTCATCCTCTCATTTAGTATTAAGAGATACTAGTAAGTCTTTAAAAGAAACAATTACATTAGCCAGCATGGTGGCAAACACCTTAATCCCAGCACTATGGAGTCAGAAGCAGGTGGATCTCTGTGAGCCTGGTCTACAGAATGAGTTCCAAAAGAAAAATAGAAAGGGAAGAAGGGAAGGAAGGAGGGAGGGATACGTTAGAGAATTGTATTTAAAAGCAAGGAGTTCAACAAAAAATTTAAAAGTATAGTACTTCTAGACCAAAAGAGGTAAAGTACTACATTCATAAAAGAAATAGGAAGACCATATCCATGATGTTATACCTAATCTTACAATAAGAATATCAAAAAGTGAACTCTTCAGCAAAGAGATGCTTTGTAAGACTTGTTAAAACTTTATAAAACTGATAGATTATATGATAGAAATTAAGTTTCTATGTACCTAACTGTTGCAATACAGTTGCTTTTACTTGTGATGGAAGGCTTTCAATTTGTAAAAGTTGTTCATAGGCTTCTTTTGCAAAATGGTATTTCCTCTAAGAAACAGAAAGGAAACAGGTATTTAGATTAAAATAAAAGGATAATACATAATTTAGTATCAATAAACCATAATTTTTATCAAGAGTAAATAAATGACAATAACATTTTATATACTGAAAACAAAATAAACAATCCCTTAAATTAAAACAATATATAGCTATCCCTTAATGTCTACAAGATTTCTTTCAGAACCCAGAGGGTTAAATTCTACAAATCCCAAAGCCAGGTGGTGGTGGAGCATACCATTAGTCCCAGCACTTTGGAGGCAGACAAGCAGATCTCTGTGAGTTAAGAGACTATTTGACTTACAAGACCTAGTTCCAGTACAGGTTCCAAAACTACATAGGGAAACCCTGTCTAAAAAAACCAAAAACCAAACAAACAAGAAAAAAAGAAAAAAAGACTTCTACAAGTCCCTCATATAAAATGATTCAGTGAATGCATATAATATATACATATATACCATCATATACTTTAATTCATACTTATAGTATATGACAATTCATTTTAACCTGTAAACCATTTAAAAGAGAAAAAATTATCAAGCAATAAAAGTGTTACTAGCCCGGTGGAGGTGGGGCACACCTTTAACCCCAGCACTAGGGAGGCAGAGTAGGCGGATCCCTGGGAGTTCCAGACCAGCCTGATCTACAGAGCTAGTTCCAGGACAGGCTCCAAAGCCACAGAGAAACCCTGTATCAGAAAAACAAAAAAAGAAAAACAAAAAAGAAAAAAAAAAAGGTGGAAAAACAGCAATATAATTCAAATTTTAAATATGTTCTAAAAATCACACTCTAGAAACTTTAGTCATGAAGGTTGAAGAAATTAGGATGTTATTTAATGATATTTCTCACTGATACACTTTAAAATATTTATAGAAATCTTTGGGTACATTAAAAATGAAGCTAGTATCTCTCACTATTATAAACATAACTAATCATAAGGTAAAACTCAACCAGTACAAAAGGAAAAATAAAGCAAAACATTAAATACATTTCAAATAAATTTAGTAAAGCCCTTGTTTACAATGGCATTTACTTATGACCTAAGATCTTGACAACATAATTGTCAAAGAAGAAAGGGTGATTTCAAGAACTACAAAAGTTGTAATAAATGAGTGATCCAGTATTTTCTTAAAACAATACTAAGTAAGTTGGGGTACACTAACTGTAGGTTAAAAGAGCCAGTCAAAGAAGCACACTCTGGCTCTGACCCAGAGACACTGAAACATACTTTGGTCCTGGAACCAGACTCAGTGAAAGAAATATATCTTAGCTGTGAAAGGCTAAAATAAACCAGTGAAAAAACACAGTTTGGACCTGAAACCTCTATGCCCCTGACCAACTAAACAAACCAATGTCTGAGTAGGAAAATTAACCAATTCCAAAGCAGAAAAACCTCCCTGGGTAAACACCCCTAAGAAGTCCTATATAATCCCCTTTGCCTGTTCAGTTTCTGGCTGTCCTTTCCCAACCTGGAAGAGGCTGCCACTCTCCTGAACTCCTTTTTTTTTTTTTTTTTTTCAAATAAATCATTAAAGAGTTTTGGGTGAAGATCTTCATTCACCCCCCAGAACAGAAAGACATTTGCTGAAATGTTCCCTTAGAGGGGGCAGAGGTGAAAAAAAGTAAAAAAATTTTTGCCAGATCCCAGGCATTTGCTACCTTTCTTCAGGGGTTTCTCCTCTAGCAGGGTGATGCAGAAATAATACCTTGGGCCAGAGTTCAGCAGAGAGCAAAGTAGGATAGCTCTGCTAGGATGTTCCCTTATAGGAATGGAGAACAGAGTTGAGCTCTGCTATAATGGCTATCTTTACGAAAGGGGCAGGATTGCTATATCCAGCCTGGAGACCATCCTCCATTACACCCCAGTTTCAAGTATTACCTTACTACAGATAGTCCAGACAATTCACGATACCTCTCCCTCAGTGGCTGAGATGTTCTATTGCCTCCGGAGCTCTCCTAGTTTGGGTCTATGTAGCCTACTTTCCCGAAAAATCAGGCTATCTTTGCAGCTCCAGAGCTGTAACACACTCTCTTACACTACCCATACCTAAAACTTGAGTAAATATTGAGTACATGACTCAGATTTACGTTACTTTTTCTCACAAATTTAAGATATAAACTACATCAAAAAGGGAATCAAGACCAGGCAGTTATTACTGCCTGTGCCTTTGATTCCAGGAAGACAGGTATCTGAGTGCTTGAAGCCACCAGCCCTGTCTACAGACTGGGTTCCAGGACAATCAGGGCTACATAGAGACACCCTGTATTGACCAAAAAATATTTTAAGGTGGTGAGGGTGAACAAAGCTCTGACTGGAAGAAAACTCAATTCCGGGGCTGCAGAGATGGCTCAGAGGTTAAGAGCACTGATTTCTCTTCTGGAGATCATGAGTTCAATTCCCAGCAACTACATGGTGGCTCACAACCATCTATCATGTGATCTGGTGCCCTCTTCTGGCATGCAGACAAATATGCACATAGAACACTGTATATGTAATAAAAATAATTTTTTTAAAAAAATCTGACTTCCAAAATTCTAAGTGTAAAATTTGCTTCAAAATAAGTGTAAGTATGCAATCAATGTTATATTGCCCAACTGAAAAGTGAATATAAAATGACTTGTATATTGTCAACGATTATATATAACTTTTGGCACTTGATATAAAGTGGCTTTGTAAATTGTAACTATTTTGCTAACTGACTGTTTGTGAGCTGTGAACAGCTTTAAAGACATCAAATGCAAAAATCTTCTTTGTATCTTATTTTTTAATTCCAAATACACTAATTGGTTCCTTATATTTCCGTGGTAGTGTGTAAAAGGATACATGGATAGTACTTTTATGATTGTAAATACTTAAGCTTCCTCCATGTGAATTCTTATAATAGACATTAATTCATTACACCTGAACACTGAACATTTGCCAACACCTGAGAACTGTTACATCTTTTATAAAAAATCCTGCATTTCCAATTTTTCATGTAATGCAAAACCAAAGTGCTGTGCAATGACTGAAAAATAAAATATTCTTTAATAAAACTTGAGAATTTTCCTATGCAAAAAAATACTGTCAGTAGATTAAAAAAAAAAAAAAAAGATAAGATACTCCCATTAAGTGCTTGTGAAACACGTAATTACAATATAAAATATACCAGGAAGAACTTAACCTCATGGCATTATAGAACTGCAAATAAAAATAATATTCTACAATATATATATATTACAATAGAAAGATCTTAGTGACATCAAATCTGTCAAAGAAGAAACACAACTGAACCTGTTTTATTACTAGCAAGAAAACAAAACAGTATATCAACTTTGTACAATGAAATCACTCAAAGAAGAATTATGTTATTGAATCATGAAATAATGTAGATTAAAGGGCAAGGTAGTAATTATCGCTAAAATTCAAGTATTGGAGAAACCAGCAGAACTCAAAAGCCAACCTAGATTACATATTTAGTAGACAGCATATACTACATAATGACAACCATTAAAAAAAAAAGAAAGAAAGAAATACTATTAAAGGTCTACATACTCTGATTCCAAAATATGCTAGTCTCTAAAAGCCAATACTAGAGAAAACAATCAAACACTGTGGAAAGGTGGAGAAAAGTGAAAAGAGAAAAGATATTTAGGACATGAAACCATTTGTTAGAGCACCACTAATATCATTAAACACCAATAAGAGTAAATTCTAATTTAAATGAAAGGGCCAGTGAGCTGTGACAGGTTTCTAATAGGCCCTGCCCTAGGCCAGGCCTCAATTTTCATTTACTGAAGATGGCTGGAACTGAGCACGAAGTTCTCAGAAAAGCCACAACTTAGGAGCAAACAAACAGCAGGTGCCCCAAAGTTTTCTGCTAAAGATAGCCTTCCCTACCCTGCTGCTGTAAAGTCCCTAATCAACAGAGCCAACTACCAATCCTATGAACATTTTGTTTAAATCCACTAATCAGTCACCAGACTAATCTGTCCTTCCTGGAATTAACCTAGCCCTGCTTAAAAGGAGCTCAATATGTGCTACTTTGTCAGATGGTTAAACCCCAACATATTGGTAATAGTAATAAACACTCCTGTGGATTGCATGTATCACTGGTGGCCTTTCATGAGTCTTCTCAAATACACTTAACATTAAACTGTGGCTCTGGGAAATGTTAATATATCAATGGATTTTTGTCAACTGTAATAATGTACCATCATACTGGTGGCTGTTGAAGGATACTACTACAAATATCTGTGAAGGAAGGCAATACAGTACAAATAATTGGCGAATGAATAAACAATGAAGAAATAAAAATATCCCCACCAGTTATTACTGTGCAACTAAAATTTTTAAATTAAAAAAAAAATAAAAGAAACAACAAAACATGTCCCTAAATGCACAGAATTTTTAAAACTCCTACATTGTTAGATATGAACAGGCATGTAAGACAAGAAACTGAAAAATCAGCCAATTTAATTAATCAAATAATTAAGGAAAAGAATTAAAAATGTTTTTATAAGATATCAATTTGTTTTTATGTGTATGGGTGTTTTTTCTGCATATATGTCTATAGACTATATGCATACAAACCCAAAAGCAACAGGATGATAGGAGATACTATGCAATTGAAGATAAAGAGTATCTATCCTGATGTTTGGAATCTAATTTAAGTCTTCTGGAAGAGCAGGGCCTGCCCTTCATTGATAAGCAATTTCTCTAACCCCAAAACTGAAATTTCCTATAAAAAAAACTATTCTTAAAAAGAAACAAAATATTTAAGATGTAAGAAATTTTTTTATAGAGACATACATACATACATACATACATACATACATGCATACATACATACATAAAGTGGCACCCCAGGCTCTTAAATTTGAATACTTGGTCACCAGGAAGTGGTACTATTTGAAAATAGTAGGTATGGCCTTGTTAGAGGAAGTATATCACTGAGAATGAGCTTTGTGATTTCAAAAATTCCAGAGGATCCAGATATAACTCAGGTACT